TGTTTTGGCTTGGAGTACTCGGTAAGTTTTATGCTTTAGCATCCTTGCATGCGTGTGAGTGACTGCCATGAATAGCATGCTTATCATGAGGCTAATTGCTTATGTGATATAACTGCCTGAATGCCTGTGGGTGAAGGTTGAGTTATCTGGATTGGAATGAATCATCAAATGTTTGTTTCAAGCCCACTAGATAGTGGCAAAACCATCTCTTCTAAGCCCACCCGAGGGTGGCAAAATCTGCATTTTAAGCCTACTTGCGAGTAGCAAACCATCTTTCAAAAACGAGCAGGAAATGTTTTATTCCAATTCAGGCGATCCAGTCTATACTAGTATGCTGTGCGCATCACATAGTAATCTAGGCTAATAACCGGGATAAGAACACATAAAGTTTTCAAAAATAGATATTATGGTTAGTAGAGGCCGATCTTTGATCGGGCGAGCGGGGGTGCTCACGAAGTGACCTTCCCTAATCGTACCCAAGTTCCCGAACCAAGGCAACTTTGGTGATGACGGACACGTGGCCTTTTTGCAACCGAGTCAGGGTTTCCTAAAACTTTCCCAAAAAAAATATTTAGGTGGCAACTCTGTATCTGGCAAAGCAGTCCATGTTTGACACTTCTTTCAAAATCTGTTTTCTCAAAACGATTTGCCGGATTTGGACTCTTTGGTTCAGACTTAGAACCGTGACAATTTTGAGAGTCCTGAGCTGTAGTGACCCCAAATGAACATAACGGGAGCTCGTTCCTCCCGGGGCGTTCGGGGACGTCTACAGTTTGGTTATGAGCTTTAAAAATAATTTCTCAATTGAGTTTTGTTTTATGAGTTTGGTTACGATTTGAGTGTGGAGTTATTTTTAAATTTAAAATATTAACATTTTAAATTATTTTAATTTTTTGAATATTTAAATAATTTAAATTTTTACGATTTAATTTTTTTGAATATTTACTTTAATTTTTTACTCATTAAATTTTTTAGATTATTTAAATATTTATGATTTATATTTTTTGAATATTTATTTTGAAAAAAATTTATTTCCTTTGTAGTATTTTCAATTAAAAATTGATTAATATTATTTTCTGTTAATAATAAATTTTTCTAATTGAATTTTAAAAAGAGTTTGATTATGAGTGTTTATCAGAATTTTCAATAGTATGAAAGTAGTGTATTTTGTTATGTGTTATAATAATTTGAATTAAGTTTTGAAAACTCTTTTCAAAACTCATAACCAAATAAATTTTCTTACTTCACATGTCAAATCAAACTTTCCAAACTCAATTCCACACTCGATTCAAAATTCAATTCAACACTCTATTCAAAAATCATAATCAAACAAATTTTCTACACTCAATTATAATTCAACAACTCACAAACTCATATTCTCAAATCATATTCTCAAATCATATTTACAAAACTCTACCTAACGCAACCAAAATTTTTTTTCTCCAATAATATTCTACAACTAAAATAACTTATAAAAAAATCCACTTCCCAAACACCCACAATAGCTAGATTATTTTTAGTATTTTATATGTATAAAAGCTAATGAGCAAATATGTCATTTTAATCTGACAGAGAGGTAAGTGTAAATTTTCAAATGTGAATGGGATTTGTATTAAACAAAAACCTCAATGTAATTTACCCAATATATATATATATATAATTCACTATAGATTAAAAAAAAATTCCATCCATAGTAGATTTTTTTTTCAAAATTTATTTATTATTATTATTATTTTTGATTTTTTTATTGAGTAGATCCTACAAATCTAAAACTTTTTGATTTTTTTTATAAAAAAATTCACTTAAATGGGAAAAAGAAAAAAACAAAAAAACCACTGAAAAGGTCAAACCTAATGGCCTGTTTGATAACGTTTATATTTATTGTTTTCTATTTATATTAATAGAGTTTTTGAAACTGTAAGTAAAAACTTGATTAGCTTCTATTTTTGTACAAAAAAAAGAAAAAGAAAAAAGGAGGTTTTGCTTTATGTTTAATTTTTCTTTTTCACTTTTTCTTCTTCTTTCTCCTACTCTTTCCGGCTACTACCCTTTACTCTTCCATCCAGATCTATCCCGACCTTACCTCAATTTTATTTATTAAATATATATATATATATTGAGGTCAATGAACTAGCATTATTGATAGTCTTATTTGATTATAACTCTCATGAATTATAAATTATTATTCATAATATACTATATTACCTTTAATTTTTATTAATTTTTTTTAATTTTTAAAACAACAAAATTAGCCTGTTCCTGCCCCACTCTCGCCGCACCCCCGATATGCTATAGGTTGGGGGCAGAGGATAACAAATCCGCTCTAAACCCACCTTGTTGTCATCCTTACTCATCGCTATCAGCTACTATAACTAATGAACTCCTCCGTCAACTAACTTCAACCACAACCTCTTTTAACCGCTAACCAACTGCCATTGCTACCAACCATCTCTCACTGGCGGTAACTATCTTTCGCCACCACCTTTTCTTGTAAATCACTTTAGGCAGCCGACCGACCACCATCTCCAACCATTGACAAATACTTTTGACCAAACTTCTTGTGGCCAATAACACCAACTGCCTGTTACTGGTGACAACAATTTTGGCCACTACCTCCAGTGGCCGACAACTACCTCCGACTACCGTCTCCAATCGTCGACGATCACCTCCCGCAACTCCCAATTTCAGTTGTTTTTAAATACTTATATACCAAACATGTTTTTTTTTTTCATTTTTATCCAAAATAAATATAAACATGTTTAATATTTTCTGTAAATAAAAATAAATATTGCCAAACGAAAATATTCAATTTTCAAACAACTCCTAAAAATATTCAATTTTCTTTGAGTCAAAAGGCTAAAATGGAAAGGCTATTTGTTAAACATACACCTACTAAATTTCTCACTACATCTATTCTGTACTTTGTAAATCATTTTACCTCAAGGAAAAATCTTTATACCTCAAACACACACATACAAGAAGGAAGAAAGATTGCTAGAAACAACAATTATGTTTTAAACATCTACAATATGAGAATGACTCCTTTTTATACCATATTGCACTATACTTCATTTTCAGGGTCTTATTTTTTGGGCCCACAACAATAATTTGAATCATCTATCTCATAAACTTTACAGTTAAAATCATCTATGCACAAGGTCACTTTCATCAAATATTAGTGAATAGATGAATAAATTGTATTTTGTTTCATAAAATGAATGGTGTTAATTTAAATTCATAGTTGCCATATATATATATATATATATATATATTTTGAATGTAATTTGTTCCTATGCATAGTGATGTTTGATAAAATTGATTTGTTGCACAACACACTTTTATTCATAGACCTACGAGATGAACATTTTGGATCATTGCCCTTAACCCGCTGGGATGGAACCCACAAAAGTGTGGAGGATAGTGCTATAGTGGGAAGCTAATCTCCTAAAGTACTCAATCATATATTCCAAGGTTAATTGGTGAAATGTTTATTTCTATGGGGCATACATTATTTAATCCGAGGATCTTTTTGGTGATAAGGCTATTTGTTGAAAAGTCGTTGAAAATTGGTTAAAAAGTCATTGGAAAGTCACATTAGTCGGCGGCAACGTGGACATTTGGGTGACATTTGAACTAATAATTAAGTGCTATTATTAGCACCCCATCAATATTTTGGACCTCCCATTTCTTTAAACCAAAGCCAAACTAAACTAAGTCTTAAGTCCCATCAAATAGGGTCGGTAGGCTTTATGTCATAAAGGATCCGAGCAACATTTTTACGTGTTTGTTGTCGGCTACCTAACACACAACCATCCTCCTTTACATAGGCTTGGGACCGGTAGAGTTGTTAAGCAACTCCGGTGGAGTTCCCCGTTTCTTTAGATCCCCACTTATAAATTTTAAAACCCTTCAAATTTCTTTTCTACCCCCAAATAATATCAAAATAATCCTTGTGAAAACATTCTACCCATTCAATTGAATGTATAGCCTCCACACCCCAAAAAATCTCTCTTCCAAAACCCGAACAAAACCCATGAAAGTGATTACTATTTCATTTGCACATACTTGTTCATGACCTTACAGTGAAAAAATAAATATAGGGCTTTTAGTCTTCAATCTTTAGAATATATCAACAAGACATTGGGTTGGGGATTTTTATGCTTGAGAAAGAAGAAGAAAAGCTAAGTGTGATTACTCTCAATTGCCTTGACATAGATTGTAATCTCTGCCGCCTTATCATTTTTTTTTTTCAGTTTGACCATTGTCAAAGTTGGTTATCTGTTCCAGAACAAATAAGAAATGTTCAGTTACTTGTTCCAGAACAAATAAATATTGTTCGGGTCTATGTTTCCGAATTTTGGTCATATGTTCGGGAGTTCAGTCCCGAAAAAATTATGAACAATTTTTATTATTTTTGCCATTTTTATAAAGGAACTTACTCTTATAAAACCAATCTCCTATGAACTAAGAACACCATCAAAGTTATGAACCTCCTCTGAGCTTTTATTGTTGTACTCCTCTCGTCTCATGAAGTTGTGGTTGCCGAAAAAATTTTCATTCATTGTTATTGTCGAAGAAGTGTAGGTAATCAAATGACTGCCACTGTCACCGCCGGAATATTGCTGTCAAAGAGTTTTTAAGTTTTTGAGGGTAGGTGGGTTTTGAAGGTGTGATTTGGGGAAGATGGATGGGTGGTGATGGAAAAAGGTGCTCTTATAAATCATAATTCATGATGTAGTGTGTGTTGACTTAATTATGAGATTGAGTGTCCCAAAATTTTTGATATCTTTTTCAGTAACTTTATTTAAGGTTATTATTGTAATAAAAAAAAAAGCTAAAAAATAGGGGATCCAAAATAATTCATGGGGTACAAATAGCAGCACTCATAATTAAACAAGTAAGTGACATGTGTACAGATAATGTCTTTTTAGTCCAAAAATATTTAATTTTAGACATATTAGCTCAAAAGTTTCATAAATAAATCTTTAACCTGATCGCCCTATATTCCAATGCAAAATGGAAATTCATGTCTACTTAAATTTGTCCAGTTTTTATTTTGTATTTCTATGATTATTATTATTTAGTTTTTATTTTTTATTTTTTTATTTTTCCTTGAATTTGACAAGTTCATGGCTATCAAACAGGCGACAGAGCTAAAATGTGGTGGGCTTGTAATTGGATGCACATTCGATCACCAGGTTGCCGATGCCTACTCAGCCAACATGTTTTTCGTTTCATGGGCTGAGATTGCTCATGCAAAACCAATCTCCCATATGCCATGTTTTAGGCGATCACTACTCAAACCGAGACGCCCAGGCTATTATGATCGATCCATTGACAATATCTATGTCTTTCTATCGTCTTTACCGCCACCAAAACTAGTAGAAGATCCTGAGCCCAATGAGGATTCCCTCCAAAGCCGCATTTACTACGTTGTGTCAGAAGAACTTAGCTATCTCCAATCGCAAGCCACCAGCTCTAACGGTATTAAGAGAAGCAAACTCGTCTCTTTTAGTGCCTTTTTGTGGAAACTTATAGCTTCCGCTGAGAAGTCTAAGTCTGAGTCTGGGTCTAACTCCAATAACAGATGTAAGCTGGGTGTTGTCGTTGATGGGAGAGGGAGATTGACACTAAACAACAACATCAAAGCAGATGATGAATTGGAACAGTATTTTGGGAACATTCTGTCCATTCCATATGGTGAGGCAAGCGTTGGCGAACTAAATGCCATGCATCTAAGTAACGTTGCAGAGCTTGTACATGATTGTTTGGAGGGCGCTGCGACAGAAGAGCACTTTCTAGGGCTCATTGATTGGGTGGAATTCCATCGGCTAGAGAAGGCAATAGTGAGAGTTTACTGCAAAGAGACCGATGATGAAACTGCTATGGTTGTGTCGTCTGGACAAAGGTTTCCGGTGTCAAAGATAGATTTCGGGTGGGGTAAACCATCTTTTGGGTCATACCATTTCCCATGGGGAGGAAAAACTGGGTATGTTATGCCAATGCCAAGTACAAGGAGGGATGGTGATTGGATTCTCTACATGCACCTTCGTGAAAAACACTTGGATTTTGTTGAGTCCCAGGCACCCCATTTGTTTAGGCCATTAACTCCAGCCTATTTAAACTTGACGCCTTGATGAGTCTTAGCTTTTGTCTTGGGAAAATCAGTCTGGCTTGTAAAAAATATATATTATTATTGATGTGTAACACATTGTGGTGGGTGATCCGCTAACATTGGTATATGCTTATGTGTGTGTGTATATATTGATAAGAGTATAGCTCAAGCAGCTGTTAGCACAACAAGAGAAGCAACACAGCAAGAGAAGCCACACAGCAGAAGCACCATAGCAAGAGAAACAACACAATAGGAACAGAGGATAACTTCTCTGTCTAACTAAGGTTCTAAATTGCAGTATCGGGTAACGTAACAGTATCGATCGCGGAGTATCGGTATCAGTAGTATCGATCGGTACGTATCGGGAATCAGGTGTTGCGGTGGTAAAATTTTAAAAATCATTTTTAACAGGTTTTTTAGCTTTTTCTTTCCCGTACTAGTCCGAACCTGTGAGTATCGGCCCATCGCGGCTTGTGTAACGGTTACAAGCCGATACGTACTGGGACTCGGCCGATACCCTTGCGATTTTCAATCTCAGCGGTACACCGGCCTGTATCTGTCACAACACCCCATTTTTCCGATACGTATCGGTCGATACGTGGCGTATCGGCCGATATTTAGAACTATGTGTCTAACTGATTCAGTTAGAGAAGTATATATATGTATAGAGTGTATACGTGTTGGTTAGTACACTACAAGAAAAAACATTTTTGGCGACCGTCTTTTTTGAGTTGGTCACAGATTAGTTGACTTTCTGCGACTAACATTTTTTTGGTCGCTAATGAGTTGTGTTTTAGCAACCAATGACATTTTGATAGCTAATAGGTAAATATTTACAACCAAAAAAAATATATATATGGTCACAGAAAGTAATGGTGGGAGAGAGAGAGAGAAAAAAAAAAAAAGGGGATCTCAAAACCTTTGGTGACCAATAAATTGTGGTCACAGAAAGGAAAAAGTCATATTTTGTATCAACATTACATAGTTTTGAATGTTTTCTAATATTAATTAAATTTGTTACTATTTGAAATAATTATTAATAATCAGTTAAAAAATTATTAATAATTAACTAATAAATTATTAAGAACATAATAGTAATTATTTTTTAATAGAATTATTATTTATTGATTAAAATCATAAAATTTCTTAAATTTATTTTTTCATTCAAAATATTAATTAAACTTTAATAAAGGTAAAATTACAAACATAATAAATAATAAAACTTAAAACAAAAAATATAAATTAAAACCAATTTTTACTACAAAATTTTGTCCCAAATTCAAATTTCTTCTCAATATTTGAAACACAATTGTTGTGGTGAGGTATGACTGAAACACAATTGCCATTGTGAGGAATGACCAAAAAAAACGTAGGCAGGAAAATAAAAACTATAGTGCCAAACACTAGCAAAAATATTAAAATAAAAGAAATCAAATATATCATAGCCCTAACTCTTCACACTTTGCGTTTTTGATATCCAAATCACCCATCTTCTCTTCTCTTTTATTGTGAAGACCTAGGGTTTGGATCCTATGATCCTTATCTTCACTGAAGAGAGCATTTTTGTTTAGGGTTTACGGGATCTGTTCTCTCAACTCGTACAACCGTTTTGTAAGTTTCGTCTCTGAACAAAACTTGATTCTACCGTTGGTGTCATCTACAACAAACAAAATACCTGGTATGTTCTTGTTCTTTGTTTGATCTTATCTTCAATGTCGTATTTTGTTTTATTTTTTGCCATAGATTCATGCTCTTGTTTTATTCATGGTGTGTTCCCTTCAAAATCTGCCTATTATGTGTCTGACAATATGGCTACACAAGATATTCACATGTCTCTGCCTTCCCAAATTGTCCACCAAGTGCTTATGAATATGTGTAGACACCCCATTTTTGACCGTCCTCATGACTTGGACGTCACCGCTTGGAACACTCGGTGATTATCCATGTTTGTATTCGTTTGGAGTTCCCGGAGGCCTCGGCTCGCGCGCCTTGCCTCAGGATCTCCGAACTCGACCGTTTAGTGTCTGGTTTCACACCAAACTCTTGTGTCTTGCCTTGGAGGGGCAGGGAATGCCTTGTGAGGCATCCCCACACACCACCGGCAGTGGCTAGAGGCCACCGGCTGGTTTTTGCTGCCATCGGCACTATTTGTTGCCGGCCGGCACTTTTTGTTGCAGGTCGGCACTATTGATTGCCGGTCGGCACTCTTTTTTGCCAAAATGACATATTTGGCCGGCCGACTACTGTGCATCTGCTTTTGCAGATATTTTAAGACAGCTGTCTTGCTCTTTTCTCCCCTCCATACACGTGTATGGAGGGATCTCCCTCTATAGAAGCTTGTCTTGTAAGCTTTACAAGACAAAAGCTCTATAAGAGAGAGCCTTGTCTCTTGGCTTCAAGGTTGGAGAGACTTTAGACATTTTTAGAGATAGAAAAGACAGAGGAAGCTCTGGTTTTAGGGTTAGGGTTTGATACATATCCTATCTCTATTTCCCTTTCCCTCTCTTTAGTGTTCTAGGTGTTTTAGTCCATACTATTGCACACAAACACCTAGTGTTTCACCTTCCTTTGTCTCCTGAGGTTCTAAGGGACTGGTTTTAGTGTTTTGGTGTTGGATTCAAACCAAGGAGGGCTATTGGAGCACCATTGTTGAAGAGGTCTTCAAGGGTAAGAATCTTACCCCTTTTTACCCCATTTTGCATCTTGTTTTTACCTATCTTTGAACTGTTTTTGTGCTTAGTGTATAATACAAAAAAGTTCTGTTTTTTAGTCCTCTTGATTGTTTATTAAGAGTGTTTTTTGATTGGAGGGTGTTTGACCCCTCTTAGGCCTTGAAAGGCCCCATTTTGAGCCATTTTGAGCAAGTTTCGAGACTTTGGTGTTTGGGCCTCTTCACCACTGAAATCTTGAGGGATTTCAGTGGTGGAGATGGTGCCTTGAAGTCTCCAAAAGGAGAGGGCCACCCCCTCTCCTTGTTGTCCTTGAAATGGACCATTTTTGGCCTCTTGAGGGAGTACTTAGCTAAGCTTCATGTTGACCATGCCTTGGCTGTTTTTTGTGCTTAATATGTCATATTATACCTCTGATTTTTGTTGGTTTTGGTACACAATGCATGCTTAGCATACCTACCATGTAATGCCATGTTATTGCCTCAATGTGCCTTAGGTTGTTAGCCCTTGTTAGAGCATGTTTTAGGCTTAGTCTTGTGAAGCTTTTGTGCATATTTTGCCATGTTTTAGGTCTGTCCATGGTTGTTTGGGTCGGATTTGGCATGCTTAGTATAGCCCCTTTGCATTCCGGGTTGTTGGCCTTAGGCGTATGAGTGTATAGCATGACATTTTTGTATTGATTTGATGATTTGGAACCATCCACCATGTCATTTCAGTCCCATTTGCATGCCTATACGTTTACCTTGAATGCCTCTTTAATGCTTTGGAAGCTTGTGTAGCATGCTCCATGTTTTGGCCATTGTGCATGCTTTGATTTTGAGCCACTTAGATGCCATCTAGAGGGTCTCATTTGCATGGTCTAGGTCTGCCTTGAACCTATTTTAAGTCTCCTTAGCCTTGTGAGGCTTGGTTGGCTTAGCCATGGTTTGAGTCCCCTTGACTTGCTTCAAGTACTTGGACCATTTGCATGCTAATGTTTAGCATATCTTGTTGCTTGGTTTGACACCACCTTAACATGATTTTCAATGCTTACTTTGCATGCCATTAGTCCATGTTATACCCCTTTCAAATGTGTTTGAGAGTTGTCCAATTTGTGCCTAAGTGTTGGCCCTTTAACATGTGCATGTGTGTATGTGTTTTGGTCCTTTATTCTGGTCACTTTGGCCGCTGTTTTGGGCCTATTTAGAGTTGCCTAAATCGTGCATAAGTCCATCTTTTCATCCATTGGTATTGCCTCATGTTTGCTTGTATACTTGCATAAGTACCTTTCCATGCCATGTTGCATCCTTAGCTTGCATGCCTAGGTTGCATTGCATCTTGCATGCATTCCCTATTCCTTGACTTGGTGATAGGAATTGGGCCTTGGTTTGTTTGTTTGGTTTGCATTTCATTTGACATGAAAGTTGCACTCTTGATCCTTTGGGCCATCATGCATGGAAATGCGTGAATGGTGGTCCGAGAATCAAGACACATGCCCCTTTGAGTTACAAACATGATAGGGAGCATGATTAGTGTATACATGCCTTGAATTGTATTGCCATGCTCTGCCTTGCCCTCTGTTGCTGTCAATTGCAGATTCTGCAGGAACATTCTGCCGACCGGCAGTGTCAAGTGCCGACCGACAATTCTTTTTCTGCCGATAGCTTCACCAATGGCCGGTGGCCACATCCCACTGCCGGTGGCAATTCCATTCAGCCGGTGGTGTTCCCCGATGTCCAAGGAAGTAGTCCTGAGGTTTTGACAACCTCCAGAGGAGTAAAAGAAGGAAAACAGAGGCAGACTATGCATGGCGGCGCACTTCCGAGCAAGACCCGAACACGCGTTGCATCTGGTCCTCCTCCTGAGGCGGTTTACTGCTTTTCCTATATTAATTAATTTGCTTAGTTGATTAGGCAATTTGTAATATTTAATTAGCTTGCGTACTTAATTAATTTGTAATATTTATTCGGTCCCTCCGAGTGAGGGCAAATCTGTAATAAGCGTGTGTGGGTGGTGTGTATGTCTTCCAATCCCCACTTCTTTCTTCCTTTTTACTTACCTGCTTTGGTGGTTAGTATTAGGGCATGTTTTATTTAGCATACCTTATGCTATGCATGCGTGCATTTATACATTTGCTTTGCATGCACCGGGCTCGGTACATCATGCTAACTGCATTTGTACTTCAAATTTTGAATTGAATCCATGTTATTTGTGCATCTTCACATGTCATTCATAGACTAGCCGAGCCTACTCTAGTGACATTTTGCTTGTGTTGCATTAGTCATTTTAACATGAACTAGGACATGCATGTTTGCTAACTAGTTTATTGTTTTGGCACGGAGTACCATGTAAGTATTTATGTTTTAGCATCCCGCATGCGTGAGGACATTTATTTTAAGTCCGGTTGGAAGGCTGCTTGTGAAAAACTGGGCCAAGGATCTGAGACCGAGGTGCTCACTTCTCTCCTCCCG